CTAACAAATTGCATATTAAGAGTTCTAGCAAATGCAGTGAAATATTGTTCTGTTTTCTTTGTGGTAATGCTTTTGAAATATTTTGATGTCGCATTTTAAGTTTTAGAAAAAATTTTCAGTTTATTTAGTTATTTGGGTAGTAATCCAAAACGGTTAAATAAAAATTATCAAAGTTTTGTTTATAGTTTCTAAATTTTTAGTTTAAATGTTCTAAATAATCGTATAGTATTTAACATAAAAAATATGTAATATTGTATTAAATAAGCTGACCAGACAGGAAAGTCGTTAGTGACTCTGACTGCCGTGTCCGAAGGTCTCGGGTTCGACTCCCGGAGAAGGCATGGATGTAATTTGTCTGTCCCTTTATAGGAGGCAACAGTGGCCACTTATTAGGTGCTTCAATAATAAAAGTGGCCGCCAGTGCTCGCCTTAGTAGTGGCCAAAGCTTATAAACGCTTAGGGTTATGAGCTTTGGCCGAAATATACCGCACACGCTTAGGGTTATAAGCCGCACACTGAAATATACCGAATGTTCAAAGAGTCAGATATTTTTCATTACATTCAAATAAGCCGTTTCAGTTGTGCTGAGAGTGTTATCCATATGAACGACAGTAATATACTAAAATAAATATTTTCGGCTAGATCAAAGTTTAACAAGAAGGAGAGGAAGACCTAGAATGGACAGATGATGCAGAGGAGGATTGTTTAGGAGGGGTTTGGCTGCTAGAAGGCATTTTGAAAAGAGATGGTTGGTGGTTCAGAAGGCTTTGGCCCACCCTTCGGTGTTGCGTCATGGATGATGATATATAATATGTATTACCATTCATTTTCGAGACTGGTCAGTGGTGAAATGGTTAACACTACTGATGCTGGTAGTTTTTTACTCGAATTCAATTATGGTGACAGTAGATTCCTGGGCCGCTAGCATAAAAGGAAGTGAACTAGTGGATATTACTGCTAAGTTTGCTACTACAGCGTCCAGTCTTCTGGTTCCATCAATAGACATCAAGGTGATAATCAAATGTAAAATTACCAATAAATACTGGGATGGTCAAGATAATAAACTAACAAGAGTTAAGCCCACTATAGACCTCGTTAAAGGATTAAGAGTGCATTCATTCCAGTTACGGGGTCTCAAAAGAGTCTCGTATTTTTATTTTTTGTCACCACCTACCAGTTCTGGGCATGGGTAATTTGTGCGCCTGCAACCTTCCTTGGATGCGGTAGCAGTTGTTTCTCAGGGTCTTTCTCCGGAATCGAACCCTGATTCCCAGTCACCCGTTACGACCATGGTAGGCGCATAACCTACCAACGACAGTTGATAAGGCAGACACTTGAAAGATACAGCTCGAAGTTATACAGAGTCACCACATGATAGTCCGATTGGTCGTGACCACGATTGGTAAGATCACGAGGTCCGACTGGTCTAAAACAGAAGGGAAAACGTCCTCTGAACTCGTGTGAGAATTGGTCGTGAGCATTCTCTGAAAGGTGAGAGAGATCCACTTCCCGTGAATTGCAGTGGCATTTTGACATATTGCCATATTTTACATGAATGTTAATCTTCTAAATATTTTTACCTAAAACGTATTAATTGTTTAAATCTGGATTTAGTTGGTTTAATTGGAAGACGACTTCATTAGAAATTGTTTGGATTTTTAAAAGATACTAAATTTTACTATAAATTGTGATTTTTTTTGTTTTTATTCTTAATTTTATCGCGACTAAACTGTATAGGAACTGCACACCTGCAGTGTTTTAAACGATATTTTAATTCGCGCGTTTCCTTATTTGTTTTTATCTTCATGGTTTTAACATACCCAAAGTGTTCTTGTTTTATACAGTCCTGTCACTGTTTCAGTTTTTAGTTTAGTTTTCTGATCCGTGATATAGTACGCGGTGATTGCAGTAGGAATTGCTTCATTTTTATATAGTTTCTCTTTTATATGTTACTGTATAGACAGTTTTCTCGATTTTCTATTGCTTTTTGGATCATTGGATTCTTGGCAATTAATTGTCAATTTCAACTGCTTCGCTTCAACCAGTAGTTTGTCGCAGATACCGTCGACAGGTTTTGCCCCAGAAATTGCAGTGCAACCAACCAATAACGATTCCGGTGAACTGGTTGCTGCTGGTTTATTTGATTATGACAAAGCACTCCAGGGCTTAAGGGGAGGGATACCTTTGTGGAGGACTTTCTAAAGGAAACTATGTAGCTTGCATACATGTTACACATGATGAAAACCGCGAAAGCACCCATCGGTTGACGGACTGAAGTCGTTTTTCTCGTACACTGAATGAGTGGTGCCAGTAGAGTATAATACCCAGGTATAGTATATATATATATATATATATCCGCTATGGCGACAATGCAGTCACTATAAATGTAATTATAAATTGGAAGAACACGGAGTAGTTTCCATGGAGCTTCTACGTTGCCAGTCCATTAAACTGAAAACAATGAAAATACTAGAATTAAGTGGTCTTATTCATTCCGCTATTGGAATTATCTTCTTCGTTTAATTCTGATGCAGTCTTCCTTCTAGTGGTTAAGACCATTGAATATTGGTAGTTCAATCCGGTTCAATTCCGGGCTGGCTGCATTGGTATTTTTTGTAGATTTCCTCACATGTAACATGAATACGAGCCAGTTTCCCTTAGAAAATGCTCCTCGGAGGCTTTCTTTTCCTTAGGTATGTAACCCTCGAGTACTTTGCAATATGCGGTTAACCTTATAAATTTAATGCTAGAATTTTATAATTACGCAGTATCTTAAGAATTCAAGCTCATACGTGGAGTCATGTATGTACATTTCAATCTTCTTATAATTAATTCTTATGCATATATTATTAATGGACAAAGACTAGTTTCCTTTATAAGAAAGTCATCAATATTCAGTGACACTTCGAACGGAGTTTGAATGCCTGCAAATTAATTTTTCTTAAAAGGTCCTCCACGGAGGCATACTTTCCCTTAGGCAGAGATGCGTGACGTGTATGCGAGCGAATTTTCTTTAGAAAATCCTTCACGAAATGCATCCATTCCCTTAGGCAGATAACCCTAGTGTGTTTTGCGGTAATCAACTAAACCAAACCAAACCCAAACAGGCAGCCGCTGTGTGCTTTGATATTCTGCAAGTAACCTAATCTAAGCTTTACTTTTTTTCAGTGCCTCCTCTTCTTCTGATAGTATCTATTAAAAGTTACTAAACTTTAAAATAGGCGTTTTAAAAAATAAATTTTAGTTTTGCTATTTTTAGTGATATAGCGGACATAATTCTCTTCCATTTAAAATTTGATGATTTCATATTACTGAAATTTGAATGTGAGCGTATTTCGCCAACAATGTACTAGTTAATGTTATCCAAAATTCAGTCAGATATGGGAATTAATTTTTTTAAAAAATGCCCAATAAATTTGAATTAAAGCTAAATTTTATTCCCCAGTAGTTTAATTTTACTTAATTTTAAGCACTGTTGGTTTCTTTTCCCCTTTTGTAACGCATCAGCTGGTTTTCTGGCAGAGATCAGAAGTTTATACGCTTTTCTGAATATCATTCTTACTTACAGAACTCATAATTTTAAATTTTGATAGTAAATAAAGAAGTATAGTAGTGAATTTAATTTAATAAAATCTTCACTGCATTAGTATTTTAAATCTTTGAAATATATAAATTTTACTGTGTAGTAAGTCCGAATGTTAAAACCGTTGAGTGTTGAAAATTCGACTTGGGTTTGATCCCAGAAGAACGGGTTGGCTGCGTGATGGATTTTCGTGGTTTTCCGCATATGTAGCGTAGATACCAGCCAGATTTCTTTAGAAAATCATGCACGAAGATATAGCCTAGTGTACTTTTCCAAGTTCAAATAAACTTAACCTTATTGTGCACTATGTTAATAACTCATTGCTGTTTTAGATTCATAAACTAGGCTAAGTTTTCCAGATAAGTGCAAGATATACATGATAATTTTAATAATTAATAAAGCTGGCTTTTTATAGCATTACCTTCAAACTAAAATGCTCTGTGCATTTCAAGAAAAAAAATGACTTGGTCTAATTTCTTTAGAAGCAAACTGTTAATGGAGACAGCATTTATAAACAGCATACACTTTGATCTTGCAATTAATTGCAAAGTTAATTATTTAAAAAATTGTAAAAAAATTAATATGCACGAGAGAAAAGAATACGAATTATCATTTACATTATATTTAATTCCTCCATTCTAAAAGTAATTATATAATTTCAGTGATTCGCTTTGACAGCCAGAAATGCTGAACAGCACATAAGTTCGAGATTTAAACTATTTCAAACATGAAAAAATTAAGGATTCTAGTTTATTTCTTTTGGCTCAAACCCAAAGTGGAAAAGGTCTTGAAACTCGCCAACTGAGAAATTTTGTCGCCAAAGCTAGGAAACTGTATCCCGTTCCCCGACGAAATGCAGTTCGAAATGACTAGTAAACAAGAGAGTACCGGCGAAGGTCTCACGTTTTCGGCGAGACCTTTTAGCTCCAGCTGTTACGTCAGGCGATAGTTCTTTTCTCCTCTGTAGGGGCCTGCGGATTATTCCATTCTTAAGTGAGTCGTACTCTGGAGCTGTTGTAAATTTTGATTTCAAAAACTATTCGAAAATTTGTTTCATTATTACGATAACGAATATAGACTGAAACCGAACGGAGAAATTATATTCCTTCTGCTGCTTCCAATTTTTTTATATATATAACTGAGAAATTTAAAAATAACTCTTCCGATTAGAAAGTGGAATTTATAATCTCTGTTTCTGTGATACTATTTTTTTTTTATCTGTATTGGTATATCTTTATTAAGTTATGAGATAGAGAAGGATAAGATAAAATTGAATGTGTGATCCTGAAGTGTCGATTATCACAGCTACGTTCCTATCAGCTGGATATCTAAGATCAGAGAAAGAAGAGCAACTTAGTAGTAATAAATTATGCCCATAGTGATGTTTTCTAAGCCTAAATGTAGGCCTAGTGCTTACCTGAAGAAAATCGACGCAGCAGATGGAATTTCTTCGCCGTAGACCGCAATGTGAACTTCGGCAAGCGGAAATTGACCATCGCCGCAGCCGCATCTTCAACGACCCATGTTGCCCCGCGGATGCTGCTGTTGTTGCAAGGACGAAAACGAGATGGCGCCACGGGACCATTTCGGGGACCTAGCGCGGGATGAGAGAGGCTCCACCGTGGGATGCGCCGATTTCTGCGGATCCAGCCGGGTAGGTAATATGAAAAATGTGAAGCATGCAAAATTATTCACCCGCCACCTTTTTCTGTTAAAATAGGCAGAATTGCGCAGGGAAGGGAAGGATACCTAGGGATACGTATTGCAAATGCACGAATTCATGTGTATGGAATGTTATTAAGACATTACACTCTTTTAGAAAAGTGTTAAGTAATGCGTTATTTAAATATGCTAGCTACTGGCACATTTCTTTAGTAATACACAGTTGCTTTCAACATGCACATGGTGTAGAATATCTTTCACGTAATTACTCAAAATTGTAATAATATTCATGTTTTACGAATTCTGAAGGAAAGAATTATTTACTTTAGGTTTTATTGCAGTTGGCCATCTTTGATTTTTGCTATTATTATTATTATAAAAATTAAAAAAAAAAAAAAAAAAAACTGTCGCTCAGAATATTGCATTGTACTGTAATATTATTGGTTAGTCATTTCTTGCATTTCTTCTGGAACATTAGTCAGACTGTAAATGTTGATGACTAAGTTATAAATAATTGTATGTTATTGATGCAAAAAACAAGCTAAAAAACCACTACACATGAAAAAAATATAATAATCTTCGTTTAACTGTAGAAAGGGATCCACGTCTCTTACACTGGGAGGATAATAATCTTGCAAATATTTTTTTTTTTTATTTAATGCTTCATGAAAATATGAAGTAATAAATTTCAATAACCCTTTTAGAAATCGTTTAGAAATCATTTATTTTTGACTAGGAGGGGCGATTTTTATCATTGCTAGAATGAATTCATTACTTTTAGTTAAACAAAATACGCTTTGAAAAAATTATCATTAAAAAGTCATATTATCATTATTTTAATGTATTTTTCACGAGTGACAGAAATGCATGTCGAAACACATAGGAGCAATTTTCTAAACATAATTTTTATTCCTTCATTTATATGTTTCATGAAATTACGAATTCGTCGTAACTTCATATTGATACGTATTTTTTAGTGCTCATTTATTTTCTGACTTTGAGGAGGAAGAACAGGAATTGTCAAAAGGTATAACAAGCCTGAAAACAATTTCAATTAATGCAGTTTTCAAAACGATCTATTTTTTTTTCTCTATTTCAGAATATAACAGATCTTTAAAGCTCTGCTTAATGCATAATAACTTTAATAATGCGCATATTCTTATTTTGTGCTGCATATGGCATTGCAGAAAATACGTTTCAGAGTATAAAAGAATCAAAGTATAAAAGAGTATAATATAATCAGAGTTTCAGAGTATAAAAGATCTGAATTACATTATCTTATCTGCTTCAGATTTATGCTTTGCTTAGAAAGAAAACTAGAGTTGAAATTAATTTTAAAAAATTACGATTTCAAGAAATTAGTTGTTGCTAATACATATGATATTTTATGTTTAATGATGAATTATTCTTTAACAATAAGTTTTCTCCCCAAGAGAATGTTAAAAATTATTTCATAATATTTATAATAATTTTATGCAGTGAAAGATTTAATAGTAAGAGCTTATAGTACTCTCAGAAAGTATATTAGGTATGAATAGAGTTATTAAACTCTTGTGCTTTTATGTATGCATTATACATATGTGTATATTAACAGATAATAATTAATAACATACTGACATTGTTTTGTGATGAAACAAAAGCTAATCGGTAACGAACTGCAATAACTAAGCCCTACGGGTTACTATGATTGGCTCTTAATTATTATGAGTTACGTGTGCGTGAAGGGGGATGGGTAATTTTGGACCGAAAGCACCGCTTATGTGGTGATTAATCTTATTTCGTTGCTCTTTCTAATAACAAAATAGCTGTAGGTAATGTATATTACATCGTTGCCTACGGCTTTATTAATTTAGGGAAAATGATTAAAAACTAATCCATTAGAGACAGGAAGCATAGCTCTGGTATGCAGACTTCATTTTTATTACAAAAAGTGCTTTTCGTTTTAAGTATCTTGATTGGGGGATGTAGAATTCATTGAAGAAAATTTCCCTCTAAGAGTATTTTTTGTTTTCGCATTTTATAAAGTTATGCTTTCTTAATTTTCTTGTTTCAAGAAACTTTTTAGATAGTGGCCTGAAAAATATTATCATCTGTTTCGATATTATTTCGGCAAATGCAGCATCGTCCAGAATGTGATTACTAGCTAATTTAGAGCTCTTTGTGATAAGTGAGTGTATATTTTATGGATATCCAAATTAACATCTAAATTCGCTGCTGAGGTGATATTTGATAAATAATTTATAAACGCAAGTTTTTAATTAGAATGTTCATTTAACCATTAAAATGATTTATATTGTTGAAATCATGATTACAAATTATGAAAAGTTTTCTGGTTAAAACAGGAAATTATGGTTCAGATAGAAATATGAAGTGAGATCATACACGCTAATTGCTAGGAGTTTTGACTAAAACAAATGGCTTAAGCAATTCGAGTATGAATGTTTATTTAATAATTCGGAATCCATTTTAAGTAGTCCTGCATCAGTAAAGTGGAAATGGTATGATTGATGGCAGTTCAAACCAAATTCAGTTCTTTGCGGTGGCTTGAGTTTTATGTGGTACTTCTTATACATATGTAAAAATAATAAAAAATTTAAATAGGTATTTAAATAGTATTCGTTCTGTAAATGGCCATTACTGTGAAATTTAAAGTGGATTTATAACATATTATTATAGTATGCAAAAAGACTGAACCTCCAGAAGACAACAGATATAGAATAATTCCAAACTGGGAGTAATTATCGAGATATATATGAGGAACATTCAAATATAAACAGGAATTTATCGGCTAAACTTTATTTGTTGAATATTATGTAGCGAATAACGCACTATATTGACTATTATTGAACGACTAACACTCTGTATTGCCTATTATGGAACGACTAACGAACTATATTTGGACGTAGTCATTGCCCAGGCAATTTCTTGATTCCAGAAGAACTTTGACTGTATATTGGCCCGCTCTTGCAAATCACCAATAAATTTCTCATTAGATTTGAGTTTCTTCCCTCCAAAAAATTTAAGTGAACCGAAAAGATGGAAAAACCTGGAGAGGAGTTAGGTAGAATATCCTACTTGAGATGACTAAAAGATAGGGAACACACCTGTTTTGTTAAGGTATCTTTTACTAATGTTTCCATTCCATCAACACTTACTTTAAGTTTTTTAGTGATTTTTCTAACGGTGATTCGCTGATCAATCCGAATCAGTGCATCAACAGCTAATCAGCTTGTCTTCATAAGTTGTGATTCTCAACTGGTGGGCATGTGGTTCAACTTTCATTTGGCATTCCTTAAAAGACTTGCACTAATCACGTACTGTAGACTCAGAGACTTTCAAACTGAATTTTAAGTCTACACTAAATCTAAGAGGAAATGGCACCTTAATTAGCGCAATACTTTTGTGAACCTCCTGCTCGGACATGTCGATTATAATTAACAGGGGTGATGGAGAGAGAAACTATCACTGCTAATGACAAATTCCAAATACGTTTGTGTTTGCTGAGACATGGTACTTCTTTGGAAGAAAGGTGTATGAAAATATTTCTATATATATATATATATGGATATTACTCGTAAAAATAGGAGGTGAAAATGCGAAGAGTCCTAAACCGTACTAAACCAGAGGAAACTGGTAAGTAAAAGATGTACAAATCTGCACCAGCAAAAGTCATATTTCGTAATAACAGAGCATAGAAAAATAAAGTAAGCTTTTATTTTATGGATTATAATTCCATTTTATACCTATTTTTTTATTGTTAAGCTATATAAATCTTTTTCTTTAATATCTAGAAGCATAAGAAAAAATACATGAATTAAATGGTGAATATTCAGAAATAATAAATTTTTCTATACGATTGCAGATGTTTTTAGTTAAACACTGTGTTTTACGAGCATAAAACTGTGTGTTCTTTTTGAAACGATTGAATTCTGCTTTTTGTACTACAGTTAGCAGCTAGGATAGAACCTATCACCTGGGCCACCTAACCACAGGACCAAATGGACTACAGCCCCGGGCCTTTTTAATGGTTGACATGAAAGCGTATTTTACGTAATCATATGGTTATTTAGAAATATACTTTTCTTTTTGGATCAGTGGGGAAATGTTTCCTCAAAAAGTCTTTTGCGTCAGAATTGTGTATCCAACAGCTGCGGAGCCTGGTATAATCTGTTTAAGTAATACCTTTATTCATGTTTAATTATGAACTAAGTTTTATCTAAATATTTAGTATTAGTTCTGTAAATATTAGAAACAATTTCCCTACTAACGTCCAGGGCCGGATTCAGAGTTTTGAACGTCACGGGTGGAAAAAATTTTGGCGCCCTTTTATACATTTTGTAAATTGAGAAAAAAGCCATAACTCGGAAAAGATCGCTGAAAACGACTTATGTCCTTTTTGTTGCTTTGTAAAGTTGGCAACTCTAAGAAGGGTATTGATTAGTAATGTCCATTGTTATAATTAAATTTTTATTGTTGTAATCAAAATTATGAAAAAGAAAACAACAATTAAGTTAAGTATACATGCATATATAGTAATTATCTGGTTTTGACATATGTTTATTCAGACTATATATATATAATACACTGACTACCAATAAGTATTTGGACATCTGTGATAGAAAAGAAAAACTAACTTTATTCAAAATCAATAGTTGGTAGAGCCTCCATGATAAGTAATTGCAGCGTGGACCCTCCGAGGCATACTTTCCACGATTCTTTGTATGACAGCCAGTCGTATTTTCTTCCCCTCGGCTTGGAGAAGACATACAAGTTCCTTCACCGATTTTGCACGGGTAGTGCACCCCTGAATTCGGCGATGCAACTCGTCCCAGAGGTTCTGGATAGGGTTCAGGTCTGGACTCTGGGCAGGCCAGTCCATTCGATGAACTCCATTGCCACCATACCAGCCTTGGTTAACGTCGAAACATGACAACTGGCATTGTCGTCCTGAAAGTAACAGGGTCCAACCCGTAAAACTGCCACAACGTAGGAAGCACATTGTCATCCAGAATAGTGCAGTAGGCATCGGAGTTGAGCTTACCATGAATGGGAACCAAGGGTCCCAGCCCATACCAGGAGAAACACCCCCCAGACCATAATTCCACCTCCGCCGAACTTGACTGTTGGCACAATGAATTCTGGCAGGAGACTTTCTCCAGGTAGACGCCAGACCTAGACCCTGCCATCCGAACGGTAAAGGGTGAACCTTGATTCTTCACTCCAAAGAACCCGTTTCCACTGATCACGGTCCAATTTCGATTGTGCTTTGCACCACATTAACCGAGCAGCGCGGTTGGACTTTGTGATCAAAGGCTTATGGGCAGCAGC